CCGCCGGGCCTAACGACGATTTCCAACCCGCCATGCCGGGACGAAGAGTATTTCAGATACGTACGTACCGGCCAACACGGCCGTCTCGGGGACCGTCGTGCGGTCCGGTATTTCGCGAGCGACCAACGTTCAAACCAGACTCGCCACCCCCGTCGTCGCTTGGTGGTTGGTCCCGTGAAGCTTCGGCCTCTCTGTGCCACAAAGAGAGAGAGAGAGAGAGAGAGAGAGAGAGAGAGAGAGAGATAGTTATGTCCCGTTGAGATGCTCCAATTATGACCTCAAGGGATATTTTTTTATGCGTCACGGCGACAATCAGGCGCGTATGGGACCGGCAACGACTGCGACGGAGGACGTCAAGGAGACGACGCGAGAGACTCGTTCGTCAAGAAAAATCGAGCGCGATGTCCGATCGGATACGCATCGGTTTCCCCCGGTGTCGCGGTCGTCGAAAGGGCCCGCGAGATATAGTAATTTATCGAGTTCGGTGCGCGATAATTTATTAACGCCAACGCGCGAGATCGATTAACGCGCGGAACCGAGCAGCGTAATTAATTGCGAGCGGCGATTCGTCGCGCGGCGCGAACAGATAAGCGCGATCGTGTATCGAGATCGCGGTGCTTGCGCGCGCGAAGACAGCGCGCGGTACAAGCTAAGATTTTATCTCGAGCAGCTGATCGCAACCGAGGGCCCGAGAAAAGGGCACCTTTCCGCCTCCGCCTCCGCCTCCCTCCTCCTCCTCCTCCTCCTTCTTCTTCCCCGCGATCCTCGAGATGTTGCCGCGTATTTGCATGAGATCGCTTACCGATTAAGCTCGATACAAGCGCCGTCTTCGCCTCGCGATTGGAATCGAGATCACCCGGTCGTTTTTCGCGCTGCGCTTCGTCCGCGACGAGGAAGCGGCATCTCGTTCTCTATCGAGAGCGTTTTCGTCGGCTATATCGGCCTATCGAGGCGCGCAAATCAACGTCAGCGCGAAGCCTCGCGGAGAAATTTCGCGGAGGGTCGGCCACACGGACGGACATACGGCGGCCGCGCGACATTGTATGCATATCGCGGACAGCTGGGCGGTGGAAACTCGCTCTCGCGTCTGCTACGATGACGTACGCGCGCTTCCGACGCATTTGTCAGTGCCAAACGCACGTACGATTGACCAGGCGACATGTGCTTTACGTCGCGTGGATTCCTTCCGTGAAGGGAAGCGTGTAAAGAGCGCAAGATACAGACGGAATCTCTCTCTCTCTCTCTCTCTCTCTCTCTCTCTCTCTCTCTCTTGAAAGAGAGATCCGGAAGTCGTTCAAGGACCGTCGCCGCCGCCGCCACCGCCGCTGACGACGACCTCGAGCTACCGGTTTCCCCGCGAGTCTTAAAATAAGAAGATGCGGAAGAGATAGAAAAGGAGTTTGAACGACGGCGAGGGGTGGAGAGGGGGCTGGAGAGACGAGCGGAACCGGTGAAATGCGTGAGAGGACCGAGAGAGAGAGAGAGAGAGAGAAGAAAAAAATCGACGATATCGAGGAGAAGGACGCACGTTGTAGCAGCGCATTCGGGACATCGTACGTCAGAGGGTCCGCGCCCGTGGGAACACGAGATGCCTGTGGGTCGGCAGGGCTCTGTCCGGGGACCCCCTCCCCCCCGGGCCCGTACTACAGGTAGATAACGAGGGACCTAGACGAGTCGGCCGACGAAGAAGAACCGAGAACAGAGCTCAAACGAGGAAGATAAAACGAGCGTGTGAGCGCGTAAGGGGGCAGGCAGGGGGTAGGAAAAAGGGGTCCGGGTTCTCTCTCTTTCTGGCTGAGGTGACACCGCCGAAAAATGCCCGCCTGCATTCCTAGAGATCTCTCTGGCCTTTGTCGACGGTACGCCGTCGCGTTACGATCTCGGATTGGGGTTCGATGGCGTATCGTAACTTTGTACGCGTCTCGCCGAGCCCTTTCGGTCTTTCCGATCAATTCGCGAATCGCTCTAGGCGTCGACCGTAATGTTGGTTCAAGCCCGAGAGAGAGAGAGAGAGAGAGAGAGAGAGAGAGAGAGAGAGAGAGAGAGAGAGAGAGAGAGAGAGAGAGAGAGAGAGAGAGAGAGAGAGAGAGAGAGAGACAACGTGACAGTTGAATTGTTTTGTATATAATTGCTAAAATCAAGAGATCGCGTCGACCGCGATCGAAGAACTCCGAGGCTCGGTTTTAATAACTCAGGCGACTCCACGAGATTTCTCGCGAATCACGATGCACCTGCCGTTCTCGCGAGAGCGTTTCAATGGCCGGCGAACCCTAACGACACGCTGAATACGTGAAATGAGACGTGACTGGAAAACGAGTTGGGATTCTGCCCCGTAGGGTCGTCCTCGAGAAGGACCCACGTGCGCTCGATGCACCCGCGTAACTATTGTTATGCCGATGCGTTTCGAACAATCGCGAGGAAATAAATCACCCCATTGCTTCAGATAATTGTTTTTTTTGTCCGAAATAAAGACCAATATGTCCGATGTGACACTTACTCTAACTGAGCGTGCGCTTTTACCGTCGCAAAGTAATAAAAAGGGCCAACGTATGAAATAAGTGGTGGAATTAATTCGACTTTCAAAAATCTGATATTTTGCCGACGTGTATGTGTGTATGGTAGAGATAAAGATTGAATTTATTATCAGTTTAGTCGAGTCGAAAAATCTCAATTTGTGTTTCAATGACGGATCGTAAAGTCGCGAGCGAGAACGCGATTCGTGTTTAAATCTTTGATAAGAGATAAATAATTAAAAAATTGACGCAGATGCAACATGTTCTTCTGCTCTGTTCGATAAGTTTTCATATTATCGCGATGGAAGGCACAAACTGAAGAACGTTCGAGCAGACGCGCGAGCCTCGTCCATGTCGGACTCGTTCGGTGTCCGTCCCCGTTACGTTTTTGCTCTGCATAAATGATGAGCCCGATTATTTTAATGAAGACATTCCGCGCAGAACGTGCGCGCGCGTGCTACTCGTCTCATGTTCTTTGGCACATGAGAAAAGAAAAAGGACAATTTTTCTGAGTCATATGAACACGTCTTCCGCACCGATGACGCGTCTTTGTGAGATAGTAAATATTTAGGGCTTGCGTAAGAGAGAGACTGTTGTTTTCTTAGTTATATTTACTAAAATACTGGTACATATTTACTGAGATTAGTCAAACGACTCATGCATGTGTTCATTCTAAGTATCAACCAAGTCAATACTTTTAACATAATCGTCTAATTTCTTGTTTACAAAATGACTCATTTTTTGAGCTGATAAAATATAACATAATTTTCACTTCAACAATCAACTTACATGAGCCCATAATAGTAAGATAATAAATAAATACAGATTCACTTTAATGTCTTTAGAGTTAGAAACCGAAGGAAATGCTCCGAGTCGAAATTTTAATTCGCCATTAATCCTTTCGGTTGAATTAGGTTGAATTTGCATTGAATTGAATTCGGTGCAAATTTTGTCAAATTTGAAGGACTAATGGAAAATCTTAATTAGAAACTGTTAACTTACCTTAATGCTGCCGATAATCGCTCGCTATAGTTCTTTCTGTCGTTGGTCTTCATATTGATGTTTGATGAAGAATTTATTTCAGATCAGAATGATTAAATATGTCATAATCATATTTTTATTTTTATTTAATTTTTCTTTTTAATTTCAGTAAATAATATATATTAAGAGTTTATTTATTTGTATATTTTTTAAATTATAAATAAAATATGTGAAAAAAATATATATTTTATATTAATTTTATATATTAAGCAGATATTAACCCATTTGCATCTGCAAGCGGAATAATCCGCGCATAATGATCGTCACTTGTTACCAGCCGCGGAATATTCCGCGAGCCACGACGTTCACTTATCAGCAACCGCGGAACGATACGTTCACGACGACGTTCACTCTTCGTCAATGATGTGTGTCAATGAATGCGCGAAGATACAAGCCGACTGTCAGTTGAACGTTTCAGATTTCTAAAGTTAGTTGCGTATTTAGAGCTGTGATGCAAATGGGTTAAAAAATATTTTTGTGAGTGGACGAGGGAAGTGATAGGGGAAAGTGAAACTTCAACATTTTATTTCTCAATTTCTTTCTTACTTTTTTAAAATTCTTATTGGTAGTGAAAATTTTGATAAAATTTGGATATTCATAATGTATTGAGAAAATTCATTTCAACTTGAACGAAAAATAAACGATTAAAATATCAACGTGGATTTAATGCAATATGTTTTATTGAGTTCGAGTACACAAAGGAATTGTGTAAGGTCACCTTTGTATTATCAAAGATAGCACAGTGTGTAAACACCAATAAGAATTTAAATCTGGATCTGTTGCGATAACAGTGCTAGATAAAAATAAAAATAGTCACTGATAAATTCAAAATCAAACTTGCGTTTCTCAATGAGTATTATTAGAGAAACATGTATCGCTCTTGCGATATTTCGGCCGGTATTTGTAGTTATAAACTATTTACAATTTTTCTTTCATTCAGAAAATAGTTATTTACAGCTTTGTATTCACAGATCGTAACTGGACTGTTCAGATCGATATTATTGTATAAAACAAATATTAGGTTAAAGAATAATCAGAAACTCGGAAAGTTATAATTATTTATTAAATGACCATGGAGAGCTACAAATTTCGGCCTCGGATAATAAATTTCGACTCGGGTATTTCCTTATTCTCGACGAGTCTGTTGAATGTACGTTAGCACGTTGACTTCCACGAAGGTCATCGGCGACTAATATTATAATACTGTCGCGTCTCATTAATTCACAAGTACAAGTCCTAATCAATTGCGTACAACAAATAAAATGACCAATAATGAGCCAATGGACGTATTATGGACTAATAGACGCGTCATGTGCGTCACTGACATTTTTATCATATCTACGACTGAATCAAACTTTTAAACGAGCTTTGAAACAACAATTGATAAAAACGTGACAATCAATGTGCTAAATCGGAAACATTCCGTGTGTTAAATAATTGAAGTACCTTATACCATCCATGATGTCTCAATGTCCTGGTATTCTGCATCTCCATCCTGGCTCAAAGTTCTGGTTTCTCTGTGCTTCCGGTCACTGGCACTGGTTCACTGACACTTGTATTGTTATACAGACTGACACTCGCGTAGACACGATGCGATCGAGGAGTTCGGGAATCAACGCGGTGCCGACGAGAGCTCGGTGAAATGTGTGGAGAGTGTCCGAAGTCAATGTTTGCCCGATCTTACGCGAAATGTAAACAATCCACACGTTCACCACCGCGTCGCGTTGTGTTTACACTGCTCGTCGGCTCAAGACGCAATGTCACGGTCACGCGATATTGAGATAATTGATATCTCCGAAGAGAGGCGCAACTTCTCCCACCACCAATCGCGAGCCGTTACCATTCGCCAATCAACAACGAGCATATTCAAAATCGCTCTTAAAGTTTTACTACGTGCTCGAATAACAAAAATTATTCAATGGATCCGGACAAGATCGCATACGCGACTTTTACCGGATATTATAAACTATTCGCATTCGACGATTGTCGGTTAACGCGCTGCGTTTCCGACTCTTCCGTCTATTCTGTCCAGCTGGAATTGACTCCAAGATGGAATGCAACACGTGATGGCGCCAGCCACACCTTGGAAACAAACGAGTTTTTTTTCACCGGTCGGCTGTCTTTTGTAAATGGCGCGTCATCACGCGCCAGGCATTTTCCTCGCTATCGTTATCGCGCTGTGTAAACCAACTAAACGGACACTTAACAGCGGCTTCCGGTGGCCGCCGACCTTGGAGAAGATGTCCCGTCGGTCGTGACGATCGACCGGCGCGGCGCGGCGCGGCGCGGCGCGCGCGGCGGTCCGTCTCCCCGGGCGAGGATCGCGACGTCGTGGAATGCTCGAATCATGCTCCCTAATTCCTCGATGATTCGAGCCAGCTCTCGATCGTCTCCGATCTATCCTCGAGAGGTATCCCGCGGGGCAGGTAGCTGCTCTGCCCCGCGAGGGGTGAGCGGAGACTTCTGTCAGCGTGGCCGGCCGATTATATCTACGCGTTTATCTACGCCCGTGTCGACCGCAGAGAGATAGCCGAAATGTCCTGTCTATGTACGAGAACATGCGACTCGTTTATGTAATAGGGAGTGGGGAGGGGGGGGGGATTCCTACCGTGGACAGCGCGCCCGACCGCGCAGGGACCAGAACCGTGGAAAGGACGAGAGAGGAGAGATTCTACGTTTCTTTCGATCATAAATTTACCGCGTGGGAGAAGACGCTGATATCGCGTGGGGTCTCGGCTCGAAGACGAAGGTATCGTCGCGGCCGACGGTGTTTTTGGGGAGGGGAAAAAGAGGAATTCGGGTAAAGGGGAGAGGACACTTTCGATACTTTTTACCTCTTCATTCCTGCCCCCGCGACATGTGTAAACTCTTTTAGCTCGAGGGAAAAAGAGAAGAGGCTGCGAGGGAAACACCAAAGTACACCCCCGTTTCTCTCTCTCTCTCTCTCTCTCTCTCTCTCTCTCTCTCTCTCTCTCTCTCTCTCTCTCTCTCTCTCTCTCTCTCTCTCTCTCTCCGAGGCCGTTCTCGCCTCCGTGCGAGTTCTTTGAGTTTGCTTCGCGCAGCTGCCGGGAAATTTGAACGACGTCTGCCGACGACGTTGACAGTTGACAAATGGCCGACAAATTCGGAGGGTGGGAATTAATATTCATATTCACGGTCACAAGCCATTTATTGCCGAGCCGGTGCAATATCGATGGCTCGAGCCCTCGCATTAACCGGGGTACGTTAGGACAAGGGCGGGCCACGCGTATTCCGGTATTTAATTACCGCGGACTCGGCCGAGGGGTGAGTCGAGAGCGTTTGATTATTTATCGCGCGAATATCCCGGCGGCTTTTCGCGCGCGCGCGAGATCGTTGAAAGTTCGTTGAAATTCGACTAGTTTCTCCCGTTGATTCCCTTTTATTTCGTCTCACTTTTTTATTAACGTCGCGAAGGAATTGCGCTAATAAATTTACAAACGGGAGGGCCCACCGCCGCCCGTCCCGGGAGGAATAGGAACGGTGAATAAACTATCGGCCAAACAAAAGCAAAGTTCGGTAATTACAACAGCATAGTATATTCCGCAGTGTCTGGCGATAAATCTCGCTCCTCTCTCTCTCTCTCTCTCTCCCTCCGGCTATCTCGTCTCTCCTCCCATTCTTCCTTATATATAAGGTGTTCCTACTATTATCGTTCCTTTTCGTACAAAATTCCGTGAGGGGTTTCATTCGCTTGTAACATTGAAATTTCCATCGTAGATAAATTGAACACGCGATTTCATCGCCCCTAATTAACTTCCCGATGTCCGAGCTATGTTGATAAAATTTCTCAATTTTTCTGATAAAATCGGCCACCGTGTATCGAGCGTTCTTCTTATCCGAAGATCGGATGACTAAGACGCTTGGCTGTCACGCGCGAAGATTTATTTTATTATAATGCTAGATTTACCGGCGGCTACCGTTTATTGAAATCGGCGTCGATCGGAGATTACGACGAGGCAACGGGGCAACGTCCGTCGTCATTACGAGGCGCTTAATTACCGCTCATAAAGTACGACGCCCGACAAGACCGACACGTTACAAAGAACTCTCCTTCGGCGAGCGCAAAGTTATCTCGCGCGTACGCCCGCGCGCGTTAGGCTCGGCGAAGCTGAAATGCATTCCGAAAATCACGTCTCGGATTTAAATGCCGTATAAATCTCACGCACGGAACAAAAAAAAATAAGACTCGGCGTCGGTCGCGGAGGAATCGAACAAACACATCTTTCGCTTAACCGAGTAGATTTTTATTAGGGAGTATCGATTTTAGTATTATCTTACCGGATGAGAGATGGCTCGGACGATAATTAAAAATGAGTACGCACGTTTTTCCGCCGCGGTGAAGTTAAATTATTTCCTACGTTTATCTCTGTTCTTCTTTACGTAAAACTAACATTACAGCGAGGGAATATTTTTTCCGTCTTAATGGGATTCGATTCGATCGTTACGAGAAGAAGAAAATTACTCCGACTGAATTAGCACTCAGCAGAGATGACGAAAACCAGGAAGCTCCCGGCATCGTCACTCTTCACATGGGTCTCACGTGATTTCCTGCCGGCAGTTTTTCCGCGTCTAGCCGGCATATGCACGATTGCGTAAGAAAACAGAGGGATCATACAAGCGGTAGAAGAAACGGAACAGACTGATTTATGCCGCCGGGGCGATGTCCCGACTCAAGTCGACGAGGCTAAATTGCCGGACAAAACGCGACCTCATGTAGAACATTTATAGCGCGCGAGCTGATGTAATCGCCGTACGATCAACCGCGAGCCTCGTTAAAATTGTAACATCTCGGGCAATTTCAATGCGATTCTTCTCGGATCGCGATTTCGCACTTGCAATTCGTTCGGAGAACGAAAACTTTCAACGCGAGAAGAAGGTTCTCGTCGCGTGTCTCGAAAATCGAATCGATCTCTCGTATTTTCGTATCTTTTACATTGACAGGAAAATTAAGATTAATTCGGTTGATTCAGTCATATTGAGAATTTATCCTACCTAATGTTATACAGGCAAGACAAAAGATGCACAAAAACTCACGGCAGTAGTAATAACTTACTAAACGCTATTCGCTCCGGGCAGGCGCGGCCAGCGAACATATGCTTTACACGTGATAACGCGCGTCGATCATCTGCGCGTTTCCTCCTCGTCGACGAAGTGACGAAGTTAATTGCTCGTTTTCTCATCTTGTTAGCGTTACTTCCGCCTGCGCTCGGAAAACAAATGCGCAAGCCCACGTGTTACGAGCTGAAATTAATGCCCCCTAGTTATTACGTTGCATGCAGAACGCGGAGTTTTCTTCTGGAAAACCATCTAGCGTCCTCCAGGATCGACAATTCTAGTCTAATTCTACGAGAAGATATACGCAACTTAAATGAGAGATGCAAAGAAATGAGTAAAACATCTCCACATACACACACACACACACACACACACACACATGGAAAAGCCCGAGTAGCGCATTCGCATATTGTCACAATGTACAATTCGCTTACCTGCCTTCGTGTCCTTCCTTCGGAGGAGGCGAGATGAAAAAGCGGAGACCTCCGAAACAGAAAGCAGATTAAACTTCCTGTTCCTATTAGATGTGCTCGATTAACTTTCCGGCCTGAAGCACCACTAAACCCAACCGTGTGTAATTAACTCGCGCGGACGTAACGAACCGCGTTAGTAGAACGTAAAATTCTATTTTCCGCGATGGGAATATCGTTCTTCAAGGAGAGGATCGAAATATATTTTTTAAGGAAGGGAAAAGAAACGGAAAAGAAGAGGTGTGTACAGTGAGATGCTATTGACGACACACGACGCCGATAATCAGGATGGTCTAAAAAAAAACTCAAGAAATTCAGAGATTTACGAGGATACGAGAGTGTGCAAAGATCGGAGGCAATGCGGAAATCGGAACGATTACGGACGACGAATGGAAGGAGCGACGATGTGATATGCGAATTGTTTATTTAACAACTAGCCTGGCGATAACATGAGAAAGATGGCTGCTTTGTGTGCCAAGGGTAAGCGACGCGGTGGCGCGATGACACTGAATAAATGCTAAACGATGACGTAGCGGGTGGGAAAGATTCGAGATAAGGAGGGATAAGAAGTGCGAGAGGTGCGCAGCCGGGAGTGCAAAAAATAGCTGACTTGTCGGGTAATAACTATTTTAATTTGCTAACCGGGAGGACTTCAGAATATTTGCGGCGCCCATTGTTTATGATACATTAATAATAATAATTAATATATAATAATAATAATAATAATATATATATATATAATATTTATATATGTATATGGCAAGATCATTGGTCAATAAATACTTTACTTAAGTCGGCGGCTAAATTTGCCAAATAATTCTCGCGTCCGGTGTCTCGATCCTCATTGCGTCGAAACTTCCTCGGATTTACCTTCCCCATTAATTATTACTCGACCGATTAATTAATCTAAGATCACACGTGCTTTGCGGGAGAATCGAAAACACTTGGCGATTATTTGGAAAACTTAGGGGGTGCCTTTCGACGGTCTAAATCGCACTACGCTATTGTACCAGCCGAAGACGATTCTTGGCCGCGTTCTCAACGGCCGAATCTTCTGAGAACGTCGGGCAGCAGTCACTATGAAGGTAATAGTGCGCGCAAGTATTCGTCTAATACTATCTGAGTTTACGCTAATAGTAGACCCTTAAGAGACGTAGGTAACACTATGTACACGACAACGACGACGAGCGCCCGACGACGCCTCGTCGCACTTGCTCAACAAAATTCCCCTCTCCTTCGCGCCTGCTTCCCCCCCCCCTTTCTCTCTCTCTCTCTCTCTCTGCCCCTTTGTCGACGACTTCATCGCGTTAACGAGCGTTTTCACTAATCGACGTGCGAACATCGTTCAGTCGTCGTCCGAATTTAAGAAAGCCGTATTCCTCCTGCTGATCTCCAACATTCGATCCTAGAACCAGTAGAGATCCTTGGAGTCCTGCACCTGGGACTCGAGTCCTGCAACACGCAACAGAACAAGTGTTGTTAAGCGCGCGCACCATACCGCCGCTTCCTGCGCTACAGGAAGACCTCCCGACTGCTAGCTGTAAGATTCCAAATAAGCGTTACACGAGCGATCAGCTGTTTCGAAGCGCCTTCCCTAGTCGAGACGTCTGCTGTCATTGCACGGGATTATTTATCGGCGTCGTGTCGCGTAATAAAAGGAGAGACAACGTTATGACGGATGCGAGGGTGCAGAACTGGTGATGGCACCCGCTGAGCAACACGAACGGACGAACGGACAGACAGACGAGCGGACGGATGAGCGAGCGAGCGAGCGAACGAACGAACGAACGAACGAGCGAGCGAGCGAACGAGCGAACGAACGAACGAACGAACGAACGAACGAACGAACGAACGAACGAACGAACGAACGAACGAACGAACGAACGAACGAACAAACGAACGAACGAACGAACGAACGAACGAACGAACGAGTAGACAGATGGGCCCGATGTCACGAGAGCGGCCAGTTAAGATCTCATGTTCCTTGCGGCTGAATTTATCTCTTATCTCGATATACCGAAGGGTGAACCGCCAGATCATCGTCGCCGATGCGGAGTCCTTAAGTGGTCTCAGGAGAGAAGAAGAAAAGAGAGAGGAAGGGAGGGAGGCGAAAATGCTGGATGCTGGATCTCGTGCGATACAATTCGCCGTCTAGTCGAGTCATTTTACGAAGCGGACCTTGCGTTTCACTGCTTCAGCGATTATTTTCATAAAATCCTAAGGACGAAGATTACGCGCGTTAATGACGACGTGGATGTCAATCTTTTAATATATACTGCAGCATCGTTGAATCAAGTCAAATATGCGCGATTGAAGGCTCTCGCAGGCGTGGGTCTACCCTCGCGATTCCTCCTTTAATGTTTTTTTATCAGATCGAGAGAGAGAGAGAGAGAGAGAGAGAGAGAGAGAGAGAGAGCGAGAGGCGCGCTCGATTATCGCGCAATAGATCGACCTTTCGCCGATTGCTAGCACGTGATGTACGGGAGACTGAGCTTGTATCCATCGACACGCACGTGTCGGCACGTGGACGTATCTACCTGCTTCAAAGTCAGCAACGTGCGACCGGCGATGCGTCGCCATATTGGCGCGCGCGCGCGCGCGCGAGAGAGAGAGAGAGAGAGAGAGAGAGAGAGAGCGCGCACACACGTGCACGAGCGCGAACACAAAGGATCACCGCTCGTGTGCAAGTGGTGATCGTCGACGTCGCGTGGAACGCGAAGTATTATTTGATCGAGAGCCATTGAGCCGGAAAATGATCGAGGAAGGTATCGAGGGACAGGAAGGAAAACAGTTTTCGAAAATAGTTAGACGGCCCGTTGAGGCGAGAAACGCTTAGTTAAATAAAATAAGTATTGGCGAATCTTTTCTTCTTAAACGGAGGACGCATCGTGTAAAAAGTATCCAAAATCGCCAAAGTGTTGGTATCTTTTTGCCATTTAACGATGATTCAATCGCGATCGATTATGCTGCGCACCAAGTGAGTTGCACGTTTCATCTCGATTGGAATTCTAAATTACCGCGTCGTCAACTTCCTCGGTTTACCTCCTCGCGATGTTGTCTCGCGCGCGATTGAATTTTTAGCGTCGCAAAGCGGAGAAGAAATTGTCGGCAATTTCCGGCGTAACATTTCGTCGAGCCTTGGTTTCCTTGGAGTTTGTGCGCTTCGCTTGTTTGTCGGGAGGACTAAAGGAAATTCCTTTGCGCGGGATCTCCCGGTGCTCTTTGATATCGCGATATTGAATGCTGGAACATTCATAACAGGTGCGTCCGTCCGTAACTTTGTATTTGCGTGCCGATTTGTGTGCGTTTGGGGTTTCAAACGGAAACATCCCCCGCGTCGCGCATATTCTTAGGAATATGATAAACGCGGCGCGCGATTCCTCCGTCTGAATCCTTAGCCCCTTGCCGAAATTCTCGCACACGAGAACCGACGAGAGGCGAATGATACGATTGGTATTAGCGCGACGCCTAACGCAATTTCTCAGTCAGTCGCGAAAAAAAGGCTAATTAAGGATCAATGGCGCGAGTCCAATCTCGCCTCGCGGAATCGCGAATCTCCCACCGAAAGAATCCGCCGCCGCGGTAATCCGAGCGCAGTCATTACTCTGAGAGCGACGTCATTAATCCTTCGCGCGGAAACACCGGCGTATAATCCTCGTGGGAGGACGTCCTAATTCAATACGTCCTGCGGCACCGCGAATGTCTCGGATAATGCGCCATAAGTGTCAGCAGCCGGGACGATTTATGCGAACCGCGTACACGCGTTTTCGCCGGCGAGCACGCGAAGCCGATACGACGGGGCTGCTCGGGGAAAATGGCGAGGGGGCAAAGGGTGACTTGGCAAATGGTGTGTCGAATAACCCGAGCAATATTGCCCGATGTTTGCCGTATTATCCCACAGTCATCATCCGGTGTCTGCGGCAAGTGGTTTGCGGCGGGATGTGTGAGACCCGTCGTAATTTTGGGACGAAATTTTGGCGAAACTTTCCGAGGGTGAAGCCTGTCGACCGAGTCGTCGATTCTCTAATAGGAATCATCAATCATTAATTACTTCGATATCAAACATTGTAAAATGTTGTGAGTGAGTGATGTTGAAAGTTTGAGCTCCGATATTCTCACCGGAATTTCTTCTCGCAATAACTCTTCTCGTTTGCTGTCTCGAAGCGAAGGCGCATCGAGGAGTTCATTTGCTTCTGAAGCATTTGGAGGATTATCGGCCCTTTCACCTAAGGGAGGTGTTTCGCAGCGAGAGGGAGGGGAAATGGCCGGTTCAACGTATGCAATATTGCGCCGAGCGCCTGTCGATGATTCGGAAGATTTGCGAGGTTTAATTTGCAATTAATAGTCGCTCATCGGTGCATACGAGTTGAAGAGGAGGGGTCAGCCGAGCTTACAACGAGTTCAAGTATATTGGATTCCAGCCGGCGAGGGGTCTGACCCTTCCCCCCATTGATAAGGGTCATCACAATGCCCGTCTCTGCGCACATCCCCGTCGGCGAAGGGATAGTCGGCAGTAAGGGTCGAGTCCTCACTTTTTCGAGAGAGCGAGGGTGTTCGATTTAATTTAATTTCAATGCCGTTGTTTCGAGCGCATCCTCTAAGCAGTCGTAGGGGAAAGGTCATCGTCGTCCTTTTACACGCTTTTACAACAGAGGGAGGGACAAAGAGACGCGAATGGATGAAGATGAAACGATTGGGCGGATGGATCGACATGACATGTGAGGCATCAAAGTTCTGGATTGTCGGAATTACATGTCTCTCTCTCTCTCTCTCTCTGTCTCTCTCTCTCTCTCTCTCTCTCTCTCTCTCTCTCTCTCTCTCTCTCTCTCTCTGTCTCTCTCTCTCGAGCTGAAATTGCGAAATATTAAAAACCGGAGCCCGGAATCGCAGGCTTAGAGTAATAATCCTCCCGCGAAACCTAGAAACCCAGATCTCATACGTGCTACATTCTACGAATGTGGAATCCGGGAATGCAAAGGATCCGCGCGAAGTATCGAGAATTTCAAGATCTCGGGACGGAAGATTAAAAAGGATCCACGGCGAAAGAAGAGAACGAAGAAGAGGATTTTCTCTCTTTCTCTTGAATCTCTCTCGTGTTCGCCAATGCGGCGACTCGTCTGCTTCGCTTCGTTCCTGGCGAAGCAGCCGAGTTCAAGAGATCGATATAACCAGCCAGCTCGACCACTCCCTCCGTTTGCAAGCTGACCAATCGAGGATGACTGACCATCCCCGGCTGGTGCGAGTCTCTCTCTCTCTCTCTCTCTCTCTCTCTCTCTCTCTCTCTCTCTCTCTCTTTTCCCTTCTTCTCGTACAACGGTGAATTACATGACGTCATTGTACGACGCCATTTTCAAGGCGCGTGCCAGAAAGCTACGGGAGCACCGACAGATTATGCCGCACGAGAATGTTCTATGAAGAATGCCCTGGACCCGAAAAGAAATTTATTACGACCCCCAATTCTTCCAGATCCCGAGTATCGTATCTGAAAATGCTCGGGCTTCCATATCGATCCGATTCCGAGCGCCGCAGATCCCGGAGATTGTGGATCCTGGGGGCTTTCTTAGACGCCGCTTTTAATCGGTCATTAATCGCTTCGGCTGCTGAGACCACCTTAATTCTACACAGTTTCTCGAGCTCGGTCGAAGAAACTCCGAATTCTAGTTTCACGGTAGATCAACGATAGATCTCATGACATTTTAACATTCCGCATACCGCGGCACCCAACGCCTCGGTAGCTGCATGATTTAAAGGCATAGCTCCTTCAGATTCTACTTCGGCTCCTTGAACGCGGTTCATTTGTCAGAACGGTGAGAATGTCGAGTCTGTTCATCGAAAAGCAGACCGCAAAACTGGAATTGCATCGCGGATAAATAATTCACCCCACCGCCTGTCCCGTAGCTAATCGGTAGTAATACACGTCGGACGCTATTTTAATCCTCAAGCCAATTAATCTTTCAAAAGAGGAAGAGAGGAGGCACAGAGAGGAGTCGAGCTAATTAATCTAAAACCAAACTGCAGGCCGGAGATGCCTGCGCAGCGGATAAATAATTCTCAGCGCGGTATCGGAATTTGTCGATCTGCCCTCTGAAAGTAAATTAATGATGACTTTGCAGTGTGCAGCAGGCAGGTTTAACGGGTTATCACTTCGCAGCTCTCAAGCTGTATCTCAAATTCCGTAGATTCAATTCTCGCACCGTCCAGATTTACCTACATCTCAGCCACGAATTTTTCCGCCTCTATTCGTGGTGGCCGATCGATATTTACAAGTCTCGAATATATCTTTTGTAGACTACACAAAAGACTAAAAGACATACCGCTTTATAAATGCTTCGCCAGCTGAGACAATTTCTCGAGACTAATTTCACGCGTTTAAATATGAGCGAATATTCTCGAGCGGAATACACGAGGAAATATTTCACATAAAAATTTCAGGCCAATTGGCCCATCCCATTCAGATTGAAACATTGTCATGTCTTCTTACATGTTCTCTCACAGTATCGCGAGTAGATGCAGACGCACCGCGTCGGGCCCGTTCGAGCGTCGCGCAGTAGACGAAAGCGCGGCGCGTCCGTCTCGCTCGACGCCGCGAAGTGGACGCAGACGCTCCGCGTCGGGCCCGTTCGAGCGTCGCCAGTAGACGAAAGCGCGGCGCGTCCGTCTCGCTCGACGCCGCGAAGTGGACGCAGACGCTCCGCGTCGGGCCCGCTCGCGCGCGGCCAGTAGACGAAAGCGCGGCGCGTCCGACTCGCTCGACGCCGCGAAGTGGACGCAGACGCTCCGCGTCGGGCCCGTTCGAGCGCGGCCAGTAGACGAAAGCGCGGCGCATCCACCCCATTGGAGTATCGTAAGTAGATGCAGACGTTCGTTACGTTCTCTCCGTTTCACGTTCGCGCTGGATGCAGTCGCCTCGCGGTCGGCGGCTCCTGTCACGTACGCGCTACTTCGAACAGCTTCGAGAGACTTCCCCACTTGCGAGGAAACATGCGTCTCTTACTCTCAACTCATCCACGATATATTGAAACCTCGTTAAAGCGAGACACATCCCCGAATCTTTTTTCGTTGCAATTCTCATGTGAGATAATATATATTCGATCGTTCTAGCCGAAACGTCGCAAAATAAAAATCCGGTAAAACTCACTTTTTTTAGACAGCCGACATTATTAGCAACAAGAATCGACTATAAACTGACGCGTGGGGCGTCGTTTCCAGCGAGTTCGCTTCGCGAATTTGCTCGCAAAAATCGCTCGCAAATCGACTCGAGTTGATTGATCGGTTCCTTTTCCGTCGCTCGACAGAAACCGACAGTGCCGATCTGTTTTTCCAAGGACGAGGCCGACGACACGGCTCTTCTCACAACGGGCATGCGACTGGCCGCGAAATAAAAGCGGCGTCTCTCTCGCGGAGAACCTTGCCATGTTTGAGAGACGCTTACGCGTCAGCCGGTAATTGCGATTTATTTCTCTTAATCGCCGCGTAAACGGCGGCCGATTTATGCGGTCCGAGTTAATTTCGCGCAATTATATAATTACCGGGTGCAGCCATCGCGCGTGCGCAGCGAGCCTAATCGGTTTGCGGAGCGGAGCGCCGTAATGGCGGCACTTAAATTTAAAGACACTTCGGCGACTTCGAGTTACCCCTCGTCCAACCCGGCCGCTCTCGCGGCTCACCCTCCATTACTCTTCGTGAGCGAGTCCCTTGATCCTTCGGCGCGAGCTTCCGCTAAGTTCTTAACTCGTAAGCCGAAGTTTGCCTTCGTACTTGATAATGATTGGAGTGCGCGCTCCGCCGCGAGTAGTGAAAACTTGGCGATATCTATCTGCGACTTTGTTCGTGTGCCGACTCGAAAGAATCCAGAGCAACTCAAATTTGCAAATCGGAATACTGCAGATGGCAAATCGCAACGATGCGAAAAGCAGCGACTGGAAAACTGGACCGATTTTCGTCGGACGATGAGACACTGCGATCTTTCGATTTACGAAACTCCTACTCTTGCGGTCGGCGATCTTTTTTCCGCGAAAATTTTGACTAACCGCGCCATTACACGTACCATGTCTTCTCGTTTGCAAACGCAATGTCACCGGACGGTCGTGGCTTTCGTTTTTACCGCGTTAGACGTTCTGCCGACGACGAATAAGTGGGAACAGCAAGAGGAATGGCAGAGGGTCGGGATTCATTTTGCGGCACGATGCTTGGCCTCGGCGTATAGCAAAGTGAGGGTACAAAATCGATACTGGAACCTCCTCTCCCCTTCTGGGGATGGATGTCACTGTTTTCACGCTTGGCAGCCATGCCTTTCGTCTAAGGAGAATGGAATTCAGGCAGGCTAGGATCTTGGTAGTCGAGAAAGTTAGATGGGACGCGGGGAACTAAGAATTCACATGCAAAAGTAGCTTTTACTCACGGTTTTCATCCTGCTACGTAAAATCCAACAAACTCGCTTGCTAAAATTAAAGAAAAATTGCTTTTCCAAAATTATAAAATTTATGATATTCGAGGTGGAGGATAAATCATTTATGACGGATATATTATTAATAACGACAACGTAACAAAAGAAAGGGTTACATGAGACACAGCTCAGCTACTCTTATGAGATTAAATGTGTAGAGGGTGGGGGGGGGGACGAGGTTGAGGGTGAGAGCCATGTGTAAAAACAAACTTGTGAAAATAAAGGTAATGAAAATTCCGGCGTGCCGCACAGGACGCCTTTCTCATTTTCCTTATCCAACGCGAACGTCGTTCGTCGACGCGTCGTCGAAAATTGCAAAGAGACCACACGCGAAATCGTGCGACTGCATCAAGGGTAAACGAGGGAGGACACGAGAGTTGTACTAGGGTGCAGACAGATGGGAGTGGTCTCTGTAATCACGATGGGCGTGGTTTTTCACGGCTTGCTGCAGCTGCATCCCATGGGGTGCAGTAAAGCGCGACCGGATTTCTGTCACTTTTATCGCGCGAGAAATGTTTCGATGCGTGATGCGTCAAAATAAAGAAAAAAAAAAAAAATAAAGAAAAAAAAAAGAGAAGAAAAAAAAGAGAAAGAGGACAACGCATAAAACTGCTACATTTTCATCGAGTTACGCGAAATAAATTCGCATTGAAATAAATTCAATCGTTCTCGCATTTGTCCCAAGTAAACTACTTAGCATAATCATGTAATTGGCCGCTTTTTTCGCACACATTGAAATTCATTTTGCGTGTGCGCGCGCGCGCGCGCGCGCCATCACCTACCTTCTTCCGGAAGACTCGAAATCGCAGAGAGTACATTTTTGCCGTCGACAGCTCGTCGGGGCTGCGCGACCGAATTCCTCGGCGAGTTTTCTTCGCGGCAAAAAGCCCGAATACGCGCGGGCTCGAGAAATGTCATCTTTCTATGCCGCATAATCTAACGCTATTTTTCTACCTCGCATAATTCACCGGTGAGCGGCGCGCCGTTCAAGGAGCGCAGAGCTCGGCCAGCTCGGTGGCGGCAGGAGCGAGATGTTTTGCGGGCGAGTCCGCGGGACTTTTTGCGCTGCGGACGATTTCGGTGGGTGAACGCCGAAGGAGGCCGTATGGATCGCGGCTCCCATTAAGCCCTTATTAATTGCGAGCATCTGAGGGACCGACCGATCTTTCTTGCGCGCTACCTGCGCGCCATTCCGCTGGCCGAGCCGAGCTCGTCCTGTCGTTCGACACGGCAGGACCTTTGATGCGGACTCGATATGCCGACGACTCGTATACGAGTATACCGGATGAAGCAATGCGCCTCGTCGCGAGGACGCGATAAATCAGGAATAGCCGCGGCGGAGATGTGTCGTGGTCGCGGTCGGTTTCTCCAACGACGAATGATTATGTTACTATCCGCAGTTCCGCGGCCCGAATATGAACGCGACGATTTTCGCGGTCGCTTCGTCGAAACGTCCAACGACTATCGCATGCAATCGCGTTCTAATTCTTCTCTCTCTCTCTCTCTCTCTCTCTCTCTCCCTCTCTCTCTCTCTCTCTCTCTCTCTCTTCCTTCCTGTCACTCTGTCCCTCTCTCGTTGAGACCCGAAGCGATCTAAATAAATGCTCAAACGCGTCCCCGAAATAGATTCGCTCGCCGGTGCGCATTCGTCGTTGACGAAACCAAACATGGAAAAGTCTACTTACTTACCGGAGAGGGGTGCATAGTGGCCATGAGGATAAGGCGGCGCCGAGGATGCGTCGACGAGGGACTGCGACGGCGTCGCCGACGTCCACTCCTTGTAGGTCGCCGCGGCGTGCGCGTGATGCGCCGCGTGGTGAGACGTGTGATGACCAAGGCCGCGTGCACCACCCAGAAGAAGACCCCCGTAGCTGGCTGCCGCCGCCATGTTATGGTGGTGGTACTCGTGCACCGCCCTGAGGGATTCGACGCGCATTGCGGGGTGAGAATTGCGAGGAGCGAATTGCCGAGGGGCGCGCGAGCGGAAGGAGGCGCCTCTCATCTCGCGGAAATGCGAACTTTGCGCGCACGATCGCGAAAGCAAAAGCAATCGCCGATATGATGGGGTATGATTTTAGATCTGTTCTCTGCGGCTGCGCCAAATTGCCAATTGTCTACATTTAAAATGATAAGTGGACGTGGAAAAACTACAAGGTGATTCAGTAAGATACAAAGAACCGATCTATCAGCTCGCAACGATGCGTTACGTCCCCCCCCCCCGTGTATCCCGCGGATCGAAATAGCGTCGCGTTCTTGATATCGTGCCACGCGATTACCTTGATTACCTTGATACGATTAGTATAGAGATCGCGCTGAGAGACGCGCAATGTAGCGACGCACAACGTTCATCATCGCGATGTGCGACATGGATCTTATCCCGAACACTTGTGAGAACTAAGAACCTTCGAGTTGTTAACGTTTTCGACGATACGGCCGAAAGGGATGAGCCGGAAAGGTAAGAGGGCAGAAGAAAAAGAGAGCGACGGGGGAAGAAGAAGAAGAATACGAAGAAGAAGAAGAAGAAGAAGAAGAAGAAGAAGAAGAAGAGGAAGAGGAGGAGGAGGAAGAGGAGGAGGAGGAGGAGGAGGAGGAGGAGGAGGAGGAGGAGGAGGAGGAGGGGGGGAGGAGGAGGAGGAGGAGAAGGAGGAGGAGGAAGAGGAGGAACAAGAGGAACAGCGACGCGGTTTGAAAGCGAAAAAGAAGAGGGCGAGCATGTGAAAAATACTGAAAACCGTCGGGAGCAGGTAACGCCGAGATCTTTAGCACTGATCCGGCCGTGGCCGTCGTATAAATTACGAGTCTGTCACCGTCGCCGTAGAAAGAGGACGGAAGGTATCGGCGAGTTTCTCTTTGTCCTTTTTTCTTCTCTCCCCCTCGCGTTCAATTTCCCTCTCCCCGCGTTCCCACGTATAGCGTGTAGCGTGTCTTTTAGGACTTTACTTTAGGATTTTTTTCCCTACATCCCCACATCGACATCGACACGACGCGTCCCCTTAATCACGTCACGCATGCAGAGCCAACGCGATCGTACGACGCTGAATGAGACGCCGATTGAGAATACAAAGTGTCAATGTCGTACGTCCCGATGTTGTACGTGAGCAACCATGTGAGGGCGCCATTATGCGAGCGAAAATGTTGAATTTTGAAAAAAGAAACGAAGAAATTCAAGGAGATAACGAAACACACCGAATAGTTGATCCGACGCGACTGAAGGTCGCGTTTAGAGAATACGTATGACCCGTCTCGCTAATTAACGCCCGAGCTATGTTGCATTTAATAGCGTACGCACGCTGAAAAAAGAAATTCCTGGCATATGGGCCCGGTTTTACGTCCCCGGCGTGTGCTGGAATTACACGCGATTACTCGATCACGAAGAGTCTGCGCGTGTCTAAGAGTCAATGGGACGTGGACACCGCATCGATATTCCGTCGCGCAACATTGTAAAGAATGTCTATTAATGGACGAGGGGGACCGGCAAGAGGGAAGCTATGCTGTTGATGTAAAACGGAGAAATAAGAAAGAGAGAGAGGGAGAGAGAGAGAGAGAGAGAGAGAGAGAGACAGAGAAAAATAGAGAAAAACAACAACGATCGGTAGCACTGACCTGTGGTGATACTGCGGGTAATGCGGATGCCACGGATCCGTCGGGTACTCGTAGACATCACCGGGATGCTGACTATTCCAAAAGGAAGGGGGAAAGTTCCTCATGGACATGGGGGAGATATTTTCTGCAATAAAAAAGAAGACAGTTTCAGCGGCGCGCTTTTAATGGCCCGTGCGAGAAAACGCGCGCGTCTACGAGAAATCCTCGAGAAAGAGGCAGTGACAGAGAGGGAGAGAGAGAGAGAAAGAGAGAGAGAGAGAGAGCGAGAGAGAGAGAGAGCGAGAGAGAGAGAGAGAGAGAGAGAGAGAGAGAGAGAGAGAGAGAGACAGAGAGAGAGAGAGAGAGAGAGAGAGAGAGGAGGAGGGGAGGATGTCACTCGTTTCCTTTTATCTTCTCTCGCGAGACTTTTATTTCGCAGCCAGAAAATGTCTGGGGCGGCCGGAAGGTCCTGTGTGTCGATTGTCCCTGTAATTCCAACCCTTCTACGAGGGCGCACATTTTGGCGCCTGTGCGCCGAGATCCCGATTCGAGAACGGTCTACTTGCGCTCGTAAACGTCGCGCGACACCGGTTGTTGCTGCTTCTACGTTGATGATCACGGACAATTAAAAAGCGCCGTATACGTGTGTCGTTAGGGAGAAGAAGGACTTCTGGGCCGCAGAGCGCCATAAACACCACGGCGCCACGGACCGGTGATCCCCGAGTGATGATTTCCACCGATAAACCTCGCCGCGGACTGTCTCCCGACGAAGTGGACAATCACCCTCGGGGAAACGAATTCCAAACGGTTGCGCTACCAACCACAGACCTCTTCGTCTTAAGCGGCGGGAATAAATAACGTCACCGGCCGGCTAAATCATCGTAGTTTGTAACGGCGGGAGTAAATTAGCAGCCGGTATGCCTCGCCTAGAAGATAATCGAAGTGACTTTAGCCGGAGATGAAATCGCGCGCGCTCCCGCGCGGGGGGAGGGAATTGAAAGCATAAATCGTGCTCGACTGCGCGGTCGTCCTTGCGTTGGTCCAGCCTTCGGACGCGCGTTCCGATTGGCCGGGGATGGGTAAGAAGAGAAGAGAAGAGAGAAGAAAAAAGGAGGGAAGAGGAAAAAGAAGGAAGAAAAAGAGAAATAGAAAAAAGGGGGGGGAAAAGGAAGGGAAAGAAAAGAAGAGGAATCCGATGCGAGCGGACAACGCAGGGAGGATCGCGGGAGGATACACGACAAGCTTCTGGCTTCAGAGTGGCCGCTTGTAAAACAACCGAGCGGTGCCCTTCTGCCTTCCGCCGATTCGATCCCGTGGGATCCTGCCTGCCCGTTTAGCGAGATCCTCCGAAGGCGACCCGCGTCCGTGGGAACGACACGGAATATTTTAATAAAGCCTCGTGTCCCAGTCGATCCGACTGCACTACTGCTCGATCCTAATTGTTCAGAGCAATGGTGATGTGCGATTGGCGACGCACGATGTGACACGACAGGACAATGATCTTTCGCGAAGTAATCGCTGGCAAAAAGGCTGCGACTGCGAATTTGTCGAGCGATGATCCTTCGAGGGTCGTCGAGGGAAATTATTCGCGATAATGTCGTGCGGCGTTTTGTATTTCGTTGATATTTTCTTTCCTTCTTTTTTTGTTTTTGTTCAAGGGCTACGGTCGCAACGAGCGTGCGCACACAAGCTTACGCTCGTGAATGAGCAGGTATCTCTTATTATATTATGGATTTTGACACGGGAGCGACGTTTTACGATGACGGGAACGACGAGCAGGACGACGGCCCAAGCGGCAAGCCGCTCGTCGAAATAGCGGGTCTTACGTAAACGAGCGAGTCATAACGCAGCGAGTTATAGCCCCGCGATAGCGCGGTAATAACACCGCGCGCGATTAATTAATCGCACGCGAGCGCTAGCCCCAACTATCTGCAAACGAGCCATCAATTAAATTGATCCTCGTTTACCGGCGAATGAATTTCCGTTAAGTATGCACAAGTGGCGATAATCAGCGCTGTATCTCGATCACCGCTCGGTTATCTTTTCGTTTCCCTCTTTCTTCGGAATAGCCGCGCAATCGCCGCATAGACGACGCACAGACCGACGGAACAACCGGGTGGGGAATGCCATGCGATCAATGAAAAATTTGATCAAGACTCTCTGTGTGTGTGTGTGTGTGTCAGAGAGAGAGAGAGAGAGAGAGAGAGAGAGAGTAAGTAATTAGGACATTTTTTAATTAGGTAATTGCTCGCTTTCTCTCGGCTCGATTCGGAAAACTGGCTTCGGCAAAATCGAATGTAGATCTCAACTAATTCCCTCGATTAACGCGTGCGCGCGTGGAAAACGCAATGAGGCCATAATTAAAGAATTCTACACGCGAGTATGATCTTTCAATCTCCGGGAGACAAACGCGGCTGCCCGGCGGGGGCTTCGTGGGACCGTTCACGATTCCTGTTCTTTTCCGTCTAGTATCTACCTCGTTCTCGGTTCGCCGACTGTTCTTTATTTATTAACGCAATTAAAGAAACAGAGTGTCGACCGTCCCGCGCGCTCGGCTTTCTTCTTTGCCGATGCCGCGACCACAGAGAAAGGGGGTACCGTTCTACGTGGAAGGGAGCGCCGAGGGAGCGGGTAGGAAGGGTTGTCGAAGGCTGGTTCGCCAATAAGTACCCGCGTGTTCGAGAACTTCAGAAAACGCCGACGTTTTAATCGACGGCCGGCTCTCTCTCTCTCTCTCTCTCTCTCTCTTGCGCGCGCGCGCGCGCACGATAGCCGCTGTCGCGATCAGGCTCGCCCTTAAACAGCGTGACTTAACAAGGGGCGAAAATGTCCTCGCGCATTAATTGCACGATTAATATCTAATTACGAAGGACATCTCTCATCGGCGAAATATCTCTCAGCGTCGCGCTAATTAAAGGATATCAGCACCTTCGAGCGCGCAAAGCGCTTTTTCCGACTCGACCCGGCTTACAATTCATCATAAAGCCGTGTCGGTCGTCTCGTCGCAAGCACACGTAACTTTTCTCGTTTGCGCGCCGCCTCAGAAATAACATTCCGTAACTTTCCTGCGCTCGCGAGCAAAACAATCGCTGTTAACTTCCCACCGGAACCCGTCGTATTTTTCCGAGCCAATTACTCAGATTCCTTTTTAATTCCGCGAGAGCAACCCTTCGTTTCTCTCTCTCTCTCTCGCTCACTCCGTCTCTCCGCTCTACATCCTACTCTTCTTCTCTCGCCTCTTTATTTTGGCAATGCGTGCGTTCGCGCGCGCGCGCGCGCGTTTAAACTCAAAGTCGTTCAGTCCTTGTACGCACGACGTTACACCCGGCATTCCGCGGCTAAAACTGTCTCTCCCGCGATGTCGCCCCTCCACACTCTAAATCCCCTCTCCCTCCCTCCTACAGTTGGTTGCAATGTTCTCTCCTTCAGCCCTCCGCCCCAGCCTCTTTTCCCAGCTTCTCCCAGAAGCTCTTAATTTACCTTTCGTACGAGCGCGCTCGCGGCAAGTTAACGCGCCCGGCGAAAGAGAAGGGCAAAGAGCGAGAGACATCGAGGGGAAAGCAAGGAGTCAGCAGGGAGGCTGGGAGGGAGGGAGGGAGGGATGAGGCGTAACAATTAGGTCGTGTTGTCTTGAATTCTAAGCAGGCTACTGAACTGATCCTCCGGCACCGTGGTCGGGATAAATGCGGCCTTAAACGACACCGATATAGACGAGCTTGCCGATCGCTTGCCAAACCAGCTCGCGTGCTGACAATCCTCCCTCTTTCCTCGATCCCTCGCAGCAACCCTCCTCCTTCCTCCCGTCGTCCCGCGAGCGCGAGCGCGAGCAGAGTTCCCTCTGCTCCTTTCTCCTGGCTCGATCCGCGTTTTAAGCCGGCACGAGTACGAGAGCGAGCTACAATTGTCACGAGGCTTGTTAGCCATGTTGCCGGCTAATGGCGTACTTCATTACCCGTCACAAGACCCGCTTCGGTATCATTCGGCTTCATCGAGACAGGAGGCAGGAGGACGAGCCTCACAAAACCCGATACCCGCTACGATTCCGCTACGATGAGCGACGCGAGTCGAAATTATTTCAGACACGCGCGCAAAGTAACTCGACGCGGAAAAGTTTCAACGAGCGCCGGCGGCGCGCGGCGTTTCCGGCGAATCGCCGCGTCTCGCGGTTTCGTTCGAGAAAACTCACCCTTCAGCTTGTCGTGCGCCAGGGCCCGCTGAAAGTGCTCCTCGACCTCGGACGCCGCATCGCCTCGGTAGTGCGTAAACACGACGCAGTTCGCGTTGACGTATTGCGCCCTGCTCTCGCCGTCGTCGGAGTCCTCGGTGGTGGTGCCGGCACCTACACCTGCGGGTAGCACGTTGCGCATTTGCGCATATCAGTGCGTTCATCCTCATCAATGCCGTCGCGATCGAACGAAAGACAATTGCTCGCGACCCTTACCGTCTGTCGATCGGTCGTCGTCCAACGTTCGCGACGGTTGCGAGGTGGTGGTGGTGGTGGTGGTGGCGGCGGCGGCGAGGGGTGGCCGTGGTTGCGGCGTTGGCCTTGGGGATGCGGGACTCGGTGCTGACCCCACGGAGCCCGCGCTACTCGGTTGACCTTGAGGGACGCTTCCGCCGGCGCCGCAAAGCTCGATACCGGCGGTTTCCAGGGACCTTTGGTGAACGTTCAGCTGCAAGCAGGAAGCAATCGGCGAGATTAGTCTCACGCGCGTCGACGAGAGCTCTGTTTCTTTTTGTGACTATATTTGAGGGAAAAGTCACACACACACACACACACACACAGGGAGTAAAAGTGACGCGAGAAATCGAAGATGTTTCCGCACGTGTTGGCCTTTACGACCGTCATATATACTTTCCGAAGCTTATCGTTAGACCTTTACAACCCCGCTTTGTCTCTCGGATCACCGGAGGTTCCCGGTGGGAAAATCGAGGATGTTATAAAAGTCCTGTCGTTAGATTTCTATCAATAGTCTCGATTTCACGCGTAAAACTGCCCGTGGCGGTTGGCGGCGGGGATGAAATAAAAACGACCGGCTCGAAGCGGACGAACCCTCGCGAGAGGGTTCGCGTCGGGACGCGACGGAGTCGTTATTCGGCTCTGTGAGACGACGCACTGTTTATCGGTTAACAGGCTAGCGATAGCGGTTAACCGGTTGGACGTTTAGCATTTGACCAATCCTTAATGAGTGCCATTTAACCGGTTTAATTGGTCGGCCGATGTACAGTTTGCGCGCGGCAGTACGATCGGTATGCTGATCGTCGTGACGAATCGATCGCTCGCGCGCGGCAGTTTCACGAGCGAAGCTGGCGAGAAAAGCTGACGAGAAAAGCTGACGAGAAACCGGCGCGAAAATTCTGGCGCGGAGATTCCGACGAGGTGAGAATCACGCTCGAACGCTTCACGGGAGCTTTCCCGCTCCCGTGAAAAGGAGGATCCAAAGGATCCTCGGGGTCGAGGAGATCGAAGAATTGGAGAGGCAGGCACATCGACGTGCTCCACGAACGACATCATTCGCGAGCGCTCTCCTCCGCGGGCGCTCCGAGTACCCGGAGACGCCCGGAGATCCGCTTCGTGGCGGACGTAGCGATCGACGAAATTCCCGGGCGGCAAATCGCGCGTCGGGAACGCGCGCCAGCCAGCCAGCCAAGGAGAAGCGTGGCCGAAGATCGCGGCGCATTGCTCGCGTGGCACAGTGATCGCGATGATGGGGTGGCAAGAGAAATACGAGCGCGTAAATGCCGGCGCGTTTTAACGGCGATAGCCGGGATTTTCAGCGTGACATCGGGGCCATGCGTTTTCTCGCGCTATAAAGAGAATGTCGACGACGGCGTCCGCGGGGGGTGACACGGGGTAGCCCATTGACTTCCACGCGTTGCCGACGCGCCGCACTTCGACACCACTCGGAATGGCCAAGTGGTTCAACCAAGCCCTGTCCTTTCCGTCGGCCGGAATCGCAACTTTTCGGCTGCACCGTCCAGCGAATCAAGTTCTCGGAATCGAGTTCTCCTCAAGGAGCAGCCGCCCGCGCGGTGTCTTAATCGCGCACGGAGGTATTCAATGAAAAATCCAGACGCTCATGCAATGCGCGCGATTGACCGTAATTAACGCAGATAATCGTCGAAGGCTACTTTGATACGTCGAATGTATCGCCGACACGGTGAATGAGTGTGGATTCTTGCCTGGATATCCAGCGCTGATTTGATCGCGCGCGCGCGCGCGGTAGTGGATTCGCCTCTCGTTCGATTCCGCGGGAGCAAAAATGCGCGTCGATGTCCAACAAATCACTGGGAATCGTGCTTTTCCTGCCTCTTCCGTTGCCGTCGTCGTCGTCGTCGTCGTCGGCGTCGGCGGCGGCGGCGACGAGCCGAGCGTTTCGTTCGCTACCCCGCCTAACCAATTACGTGCATGCATCAGCGGCGCACGGAAATAAGCTGACGCTGATGTATGCGCCGGTCGACGGTCGGCGGAAGGACGGGGGAGCAGGCGATGAAGAAGAGGAAAAAGACGAACGAGCACGCCTCCGAGAGAGAGATGCTATCGTTATCTACTCCAATAAACTCGGGCCTGGCGTTCCACGGGGCAGTACATCATCGCCATGCCGCACATAAAGTGATGACGAGCGATGACCCGTGCTCGCGTTCGCGCTCGGGGTAAGCGTCATCGAATGAAGGTATATATCCGCTTGTCATCGTGGCTCTTGCGACTGCTGATTGGTAGGCGGTTCGCGATGAAAGGCGGCGGAGCCTTTAAACCTTGGCGTCTCGCGAGGTCGCGCCATTTGTTCGCGAGCGATCGGCCCGCATTGTCGGCGATTACGTCACAACTCGCGGTGCACACCATGTTGCGCGCTCGTCGCGGTCGTGTCTGCGGCATCGGCATGGCCAGGTAGCAGATCGTCGTTTGATGAGCCAGGTAGCACTGGATAGCCTGGATTCGTTCGAAATCTCTCCCTGCCGCGACGTGTGCCGCGGCACGCTCTAGATCTTACGACTTCAATATTCCCAAGCCGGCGAAGGGATTTTCAAGTTTCACGAAAGATCGACTGGATCTCTCGCCTTTGGCGAGAGTGATTCGAGTCGCCAATCGATAACTTAGCGAGAGATCGACCTCCCGAAGGCTCGAAGGTCTCGAGGTAACGCACCTTGTCCGATCTCTTGGCAGGACACCCCGCGCGAAATTCAGCGCTCGCGCGCGGGGACGAGAGTGTGGGAGATTAAATCAAGGAGCAGCGGGTCTTCCATAGATTACCACGGTAGAACATCCAGCGCCGGTCGGCCGGACGACAATGTGGTAATTAATTGAAGCAAGACCGTCCCCGACAGCCTCTCTTCCTCTTTTGCTTTTTCTCCCTTCGCTCCGCGCAGCCAACGAGCAGCTCTAGCCAAGAGAGCTGCTCTCTCGCGGCCTTTCAAAGCATTCCAAAGCGCGAGTCCGCCCGTTCCTCTCCACGGCCTCCGCTCGCTTCTTCTTCTTCTTGCCCTCTCCCGCGTCCCCCCTCCCCTCACATCTCACCCCTCCACTTCCACCCGCCGCCCTTCCTGCCGGTGTCGAGTCATTTCACGAAAGGCCCGAGGCTGCATCTTTATTTCTTTCCCTTTTGTCTTATAGATCTACCACACACAGGACTATACGGTGTATCGCTGGCACACACGGCACTGGCTCTGGCCACAGATCCTAGCGCTTCTGATCCTAGGCTCGTCCGAGGTAGTCCCCCCCCTCGGGAGGGGGATCATCCGATGTTCTCCGTTCTACTTCACCGAAGTTCGCTGAACTCGGTAGTTCGGCGTGGGTTCAGCGCGAGTCGAAAAGTTTTCATCGATTTTGGTCATATTCGCGTCTTCATCCGCATTGCAAAGAACTTTATCCTTTCCCTTGAGCCGGGGAGGCGGCAGGTATCCTAAATCGTCCGCGTCTTAAACTCGTGTTGTTCGACCCGTCTCTCGCGTCCCTCGCGTGGTGTCTCGCGATCGTCGATTTGCCGTCGATTTCCAAGCACCAAGCACCGAGGGAACTCTCTCGGCTTCCACGGATGCTCGATACCCACGCTCGATACTCCTCGCCCATGTTCGGTCTTTAAGGGCGACGTCATCGTGCCGCGAGCCAGGTGTTATTTATCGCCTCGCGCGGCTGCGACGGGCGGCACGCCGAAGCGGGTAACGAGCAGGTAATCCTTTAGTCAAACCGCGGGCCGCGCGAGTACGCGAGTTTGCATTTATATCGCGAGCCGGCGATATTATTCACGGTGTATCGCGGCGGAACACATTAAGCGGATACCGGCGCCGCTTCTTTCGCGGCGGAATACCCTTATCAGCGGGTGGCGCACCGTTTACTCATTTGTGGACGTCTGGTAGCACTTAGCTGTTATTATGAAGCCAAGTCCCGCGGGAGAGATAAAGCGGATAGTACACGCTAAAGTAGACGATTAGCCGCTATATACCGCGCGCGCGCGCAAAAGCGGCCGGAGGTAGAGGCAATAGCGCGAGCTCTGATGAACGTGGGAAGGCACGTAAGGGAAGGAGCGTAAGGGGAGCCCCTCGGTCTCCGAGAAAGCCCGAGAAAGCCAACGGGGATATATCGGTAATCTGAGCCACCCAGTGTTTAACGAATATGACTGTAAATCATGCGGCAGTCGGGGGGAGAAGAGCGTCTCGAGAGCGGGAAGAGGAAGCGGCGAAAAAAGCCGGAGATATAGGACGCACGAGGAATCTTGTATGCACGCAACGCCCCGCAACGCTTTCTCCCCGCGGCGCAACGGGCAGAAATTGGGAGGCGAGGGCTTTCCTCCCTCTCTCGGCTCTCGGTAGTCCTGCGAGCTGTCGCGCGTCCTAGCATAGAAATCCAGCGTGCGCGGTGACGATCGATCAAATTGGGAATCCCAGGCATCTGTAGTAACACGGTGTTTATCTCGAGACACACTTGCAATCGTACGTGCGAGGGACAGCGGGGGGGGGGGGGGAGAGGAAGAGAGAAAGAAAGAGAGAGAGAGAGAGAGAGAGCGATAAAGGACAGCCCGAGTTGACGTCGCAAGTAGGCTGCCGAAAAGATCGCAGGGAGCGAGCGTTACACGCGTTTCTACGTTATCTCGGTGAATGATCGAGCGTTCGCGCAAGGTGCTAATTGAGAGACGAGAAGAGGCGCCTAAACCTCCGGGAGGAATCTCTCACCCTTCAGTTCCCGGCCTCACGCGTCTGCCATCTTCGCGAACTACGCCGGCCGATAACTGTCCGCGAGAGTCCGTAAATCGCTCGATTAATTAGCGCGAGACGGCCGAGAGCGCGTTGGGCGTAAGTATGATCGAAGTGACGTGTCGTTAGGCCCCGCTGGAATCCGGCTCTATTTATCGGCTTTACGATTACACGCCACCCGGCGAAATTCATATAGGCTCGGCTTATTCGGAGAGCCCCGGGATTTCTGCTGCGCTGTCGGGAGACTTTTCGCGCGAGCGATTACCGAGCCGCGGAGTGATGCCCGCTCGTCGTTGGAGGACGATGAGTCCTCCGCGCGATCGCGATCGCTTAGATCGTTAGATCGTGTCGTGATGAGGACGAAACAAACGCGATGCAAGTAGAATGGACGATGAAGAGAGAGATTAGAGGGAATCCGCGAGAGGAAAATTAATAAATGCAGTCTCGGACGGAGAGAGAGAGAGAGAGAGAGAGAGAGAGAGTT